GCCTGTCTGTCTTTCTGTCTGTCTGTCCGTCTGTCTGTCTCCTCCCTCTCACTCCCTTTTTGCGCTGGTGCCGTTCCTTGTCCTCATGCAGAGGGCAGCAATGCAGCAGATTCTGAAGAGCATGACGGGAGGCCCGCCTGGTACTTCAGCTCCGCCTTTTGGAATGCCCCCATTCCCAATGCCTCCTTCATCGCCACTAGGTACTCCGCCGCCAGCATTTACCCCTCCTGCTTCTTTCCCCCCTCCACCAACTTACACAACTGAGTCTTCTCCATCCTCAACAACCTCAACGGCGGGAGCGGACGACAGTTCTGTTTCAGCACAGGCGCACGAAGCCTCACCAGTTGCAGCGGTGCAGCGGAAACCAGCATTCACTGACGTCAGCCCTGACGCCATGGGATGGGAAGGAGGAAGCAAGCCTGCAGAGGAAGGAAAAGGACCGTTCTTCCACGATGCGGAGGTAATGTATGGCCCAACACTACATGTTTTGTTTTGTTTTGTTGTCATTTTTCAAGGTGGGTAGGGGATTTAGGGGCGGGTGGAGAAGGTGCGTTTTAGGATTTTTTGGCTTTTTCCCCCCTTCCATTTCGCTCTCCTGATATTGGCCCATGGTGAGCAGTTTTTTCGTTTTCCTTTCTATTCGTTTTTTTCCTTTTTTTCTCATTTACAGCATTATGGTTATGGGTCTTCTCTCCACCGTAGAGAAGTTGGCTTCCACACAGTACACTAAGGTGGGGGAGGGGGGTGGGATGAGGCGGGGGTGAAAAGCGGTACTCTGGTCCTTTGGGACATCCGTTAGAATTGGAACCATACAGAGAAAGATTAGCATGCCCACTGCACAAGCAAGGATGATATGTATAAATCGAGAAATCGTCCAAAATAAAACGAAAGAAAAGGTGGTACTTTGCTTTCTGCTCCTGCTTCGACTGCATTCTTCTACAAAGGACCAGGCCCTGCTGGTGCTGTGCTATACTCTGATCGGTTAGCAGGAATCTGGTCCTGAAGTGGGACAGGTGCGTGCTGGCTTAGCACCAACATAGCACTGAGCAGAACTAGTACAGTACTGCCTGGTCAGTGAAGTTGAATTTGTGAATCATTTTATGATACGGCTTTTGATCGGTCGTTTAGCTGTCTGTTTATCTTACCGAGTACTTTTCTTTTCTTTTCTTTTCTTTTTCTTTCTTTTTTTTCTTTCTAGGATGTTTGTCCGGACGCCTGGGCACCCAACTTGTGCCCGGATACACACCCGAGTGCACAGCTGGGCTTGAACCCTTGGCAGGGTTCCGAGCAGCCCCTGCGCCAAAATAAAAAGAAATCAAAACATTCCAGGAAAAAAAAATGTTATGTAGAATCGGAATACGGATGGGTTCTGGCTGAGGGTTGCATCAGAATTCCTGACAGAATTGAATATAAAAAAGAAAACAACAGAATCAGGCCAAGGCACCCCGCTTTTTTAAAACCCCTTTATAGCCCCTTAAAAACCAATGTATACCCCCCCCCTTCCACCCCCCTGATACCCAACACTCGAAAAAAAAGAAGTCCGGATTTGGGCTCCTCCGGCCACGTACAGAAAATCTCTCCCGCACAACACACACACAAAAAAAAAAGAAAAAATGGGCTTATTTTTGCCTTCACGGGGGCCCCGTGTAGGTGAACCCCCGGTGACTTGCGCGGGCTGCACCGCCGGGTGAGCCAAGTAGCCTACCGTAACTAATTTTCTTTTGAACTTTTAACCATTTTAGGAACTCTGCCTTGATGGATACCAAAGCCTTTTTCTGGTACACACCCCCAACATTCTTCCTGAGTTGTGTTGTGCCGTGGCCTTTTTGCCCTGTCATGTTCGTACACCATCTGCCACAGGGGTTAATAGACGATCTTTCAGAGAGAGGAAGGGTAGAGGTGGGGGTTGGGGGGTACGGAGGTCGGGAGGCAGAAAGGGTCCCAGAGGGGAAGAAAGAGCTGTGATGAGGGTCGGTGGGGTGGGAAGGAAAAGAAGTTTGGGTTGAAGAGAGAGGGATGGTGGAGGGGCACACACACTCACACACACACACACACACACACACACACACACACAGAGAGAGAGAGAGAGAGAGAGAGAGAGAGAGAGAGAGAGAGAGAGAGAGNAGAGAGAGAGAGAGAGAGAGAGAGAGAGAGAGAGAGAGAGAGAGAGAGAGAGAGAGAGAGAGAGAGAGAGAGAGAGAGAGAGAGAGAAGTTGCTAAGTCAGCGCGACATGGTGGAACTGCAGGTTGTGGATTCCAATGCGAGCAGCAGCGGAACAGGGAGCTCCCAAACTGGAGGTACGAGTGTTTACATGGTAAAAAAGCAGCTTGCTCCCACATGTCTGATGTCATTTGAAAAAAAAAGAACACTTTCTGTTGCTTGCTGTGGAAAGCCTGGAGGTGTGAACACTCGTATGGCAAAGAAACAGAAGTTAAACAAACAGTTTGCTCCCACATTTTGGGAAAAAAAGGAACGTTTTCTGTTGCTTGCTGTGGAAATCTTCCTGTGCAATGGTCACTTGCTGGCTCGTTCTCTTCTCTTTGGACCTCTTACTCGTACCTTAAAAAAAAAAGGTAAAAAAGGGCGACGGCCTTCAGGTATCATCGTGAACAAATTGAACGGCCCCAGATAATTCTGTAATTTTGTTCATCTGGTTTCATCGGGATTCAAACTCAGGTCTGCATTTCAACAGATTATGGGCATACGAACTGACCTAAGCCCGTTATTCTAGTACCTGTAGGCTTTTGCACTGGGACACGTAACCAAAACGGATGGTAGGCTTGCAAACAGGGAAGGTGTGGGAAATGTGGTTGTCTATGGTGATGTGCGATGAATGTTAGCCCACCTTTATTTTGGTGGTGTGGGGGAGTTTTGGTGGTGGGTGAGCGGTGAGAAGGTGGGGGAGGAGAGGGGAGGGGAAGAGGAGGAAGGAGGAGGAGGAGGAGGGAAGGGCGGGGTTGTAATGCTGCGTGAGTGGAAGATCAATTGTGTAACTCTCCGGCTGTGTGCACTTTGGCGTCTAGATGACGAGCGAATCAAGATTCGTAAACTGGGATCTAGGAGAACTTCATGTACAAATCTCCTTTTTTATTTTTTATTTTTTTTTATTAACGTAACGTAACGTGCACAATCATATCCTGCAAGCAAAGCAACCAGGACGAGTGCACGCATGGAGCGTCTGACGGCAGTTCTTGTAATTTTGTTTCGGCCAGTCGATAAATGAGACGAGGATATCGTCATGACTCCGGCCAGCCGAAAGAAACCAGTTTTCTGGTGACCAGCCTTGCAGAGACGATTAGGAGGAGGAAACTGTGTGAAGGGATGGTGTTGTATGTGTTCCTTATGATGGTCAGGTACAGAGGAGTGTTGAGTTAGTGGTTCACCTTCGTAAAGTTTTCCTTTGTCTTTTTCGTTTGTGTGAATGTGAACGAAGGCAAACAAGAAAAAGGTCAATACATGCTCTACCCGTAATGCTGCAGTCGCCAAAAAAAAAATGACCCTGCAAAAGCTTCTTACTGGGTCTGCCCTCCCTTTTTTTATATTTTTTTATATTTTTTATATTTTTAATATTTTTTATATATTTTATATATTTTATATTTTTCTATATATTTTTAATAATCAAAACAGAACGTTATGGTTCTGACTCCTTTTCCATTTTGGGGGGGGTCTGCCCTCCCTTAGAAATTAGAATGCATGCATTCGTCAGTCGAAGGCTGAGCTAACGTCCCCTCATCCATCTGATGACGACGAACTGTGTTTGCTAAATGTCCAGGCGGTGCAGCGGCTGGAGCAAAAGAATCTGTTTTCACAGTCGAGGCGCTTGAAAAGATGATGGAGGATCCAATGGTTCAGAAGATGGTCTATCCGTACGTAAGCCAGAACAAACTACACCCCTGCAGCTATGTGGCATGTACTATACGCAGCAAGTACTACACCTCTGAATTTGGGTACTTAGGGCAGAGATCCCATTAGGACTTTTTGTCCTTCCCACCTGCTTATTAAGCTCCAGTTTAAGATCAGCGCAGCATGTACTACTATACATAGCACAGCATGTAATTCTATACATGCGAGCGAGCCTCCCACACTCCCTTTTCCCCCCTTCAAGAGCAAGCCTGTTGCCATGGCCGACTCCCACCGAAACCGCGATTACCATTGCCAACGACGAAGATCCGGTTGGAAAGGGGGGGGGGGAGAGGAGGTATGATGAGCGAGGGAGGAGGAGAAATACGACGAAGGTGGAGGGAAGAGAACGGCGATGGAGGAGAAGAGCGATGGAGAAGCAAGTCGACGAGCGATGGAGAAGTATGAGGAGGGAGGAGGGAGGAGGGAGGAGGGAGGAGGAGACCGATGATGAAGGAGGGAGGTAGACAAGGATGACAAGGATGAGGGATGGCGAGGGGAATCCGATTCGGAAGGGGGAAAATGGGGGGGGGAGAGGGAGGAGGGAGTGGGGGAGAAGTATGGCGAAGGAGGAGGGAGGAGGAGACCGATGGCGAACGAGAGAGGTAGATGAGGATGACAATTATGAGAGATGGTGAGGGGAATCCAATTCGAGTGGAAAAAAAAGGGAGGAGGGAGGTAGGGAGAGGTATGATGAAGGAGATGTATGACAAAGGAGGAGGGAGAAGAAGTATGATGAGGGAGGAGGGACGAGGGAGGAGTATGACGAAGGAGGAGGGTGGAAGGATGAGGGTGGAAGGATGAGGGTGGAAGGAGGAGGGTGGAAGGAGGAGAAGACCGATGACCACGGAGGCCCTGTTCACTACACTGGAGGCCCTTGTTTTTATTCGAAAATAGTGGAGGAGAACGAAGAAGAGGGAAATCGGGTTCTGAAAAAGGAGGGAGGGAAAGGAGAAGAACGACGATGGAGGAGTCGTACGGCGAACGAGGAGGGAAGTATGACGAAGAAGGGATGAAGCGGAAGATAACGATGACAAGGGAGGAGGGGACTGATGATGAAGGAGGGAGGGGGAGGACAATGA